CCGCCTCGGAGCCCTCCGGTGGGCACATGCGTGTCGGGCTCGTCACGGAGGCGTCGCTGACCGTGCTGGAAATGCCGGTGACACAACGCATTCCGTGGCTCTAAAATTTGAAGAACAGAAGGAGAGCAAAATGGTTTAAAAAAGGGACTGTCGCCTCCTCGGCAGTAGTGTGTGCCATGCCCCATGGGACTTTTGGAGCTCTGTCACCTACAGAGATACAAAAGCTCCAATGTGAATGGTTTCTGTAGGCTTGAAGCTTTATCATGGAATCATTTGGTTAGAAAAGACCTTTGCAATCATCAAGTCCAGCCATGCTTGTCCACTACTAAACCATGTTTCTAAACACCTTGTCTTACCCATCTTTTAAATACCTCCAGGGATGGGGCCCGTGCCAGTGCCTGATAACCCTTTCAGTGAAGACTTTTATGTCCAACCTAAACCTCCCCTGGCACAACTTGAGGCCATTTCCCCTCATCCTATTGCCTGTTAACCTGGGAGAAGAGACTGACCCCCACCTCACTACACCCTCCTGTCAGGCAGTTGTAGAGGGCGATAAGGTCTCCCCTCAGCCTCCTCCAGGCTGAACAGCCCCAGTTCCCTCAGCTGCTCGCCATCAGACTTGTGCTCCAGAACCCTCACCAGCTTCCTTGCCCATCTCTGGACACCACCAGCACCTCAATGTCCTTCTTGTAGTGAGGGGCTCAAAACTGCACACAGTATTCGAGGTGCAGCCTCACCAGTGCTGAGTACAGGGGCACGATCACTTCCCTACTCCTGCTGCCCACACTGTTCCTGATACAAGCCAGGATGCCATTGGCCCTCTTGGCCACCTGGGCACACTGCTGGCTCATATTCAGCCAGATGTCAACCCGTACCCCCAGATCCCTCTCTGCCAAGCAGCTTTCCAGCCACTCATCCCCAAGCCTGTAGTGTTGCGTGGGGTTGTTGTGACCCAAGTGCAGGACCTGGCACTTGGCCTCGATGAACCTCAAACAATTGGCCACATCCCGTCGATCCAGCCTGTCAAGGTCCCTCTGCAGAGCCTCCCTACCCTCGAGCAGATCGACACTTCCACCCAGCTTAGTGTCATCAGCAAACTTAATGAGGGTGCACTCAATCCCCTCGTCTAGGTCATTGATAAAGATGTTAAACGGAACTGGCCCCAACACCGAACCCTGGGGGACACCAGGACGAGTGCCCTGTTCAGTGCTTCTCGTCAGTGGCAGGCCCTGTGCTCCAGGTGGCAGCATGACTTCGCACGCTGGAGCCCTTCCAGCCTTGGCTGCTCTTCACCTTCCCCATGGCTGCTGGTGGGCTCTCTCTTCAGGAGTAGCAGGGGCAGGTAACAAGTCTGATGAGCAAGGGGGGCTTGCTTTTCTGTCATACAGCTTCATCCCCACCACAGACCTTCCCAGGGGGGTTATTGGGCCAAGATAAATGAGGAGGACCCTGCTGCCACGTTTAGTTTGATGCGGCTCTCTTGTCTTCTCTGACCTCAATTCCAGTCTTGGGTAGTTGGCTTGCAGGAACATAATTTTCAAGGCAGGCAACACTAGCAGGACGTGCCTACCTAGTCTTAATAAGTTTGGCCCCCCCAAGTCTATTTCCTAGCGCTGCCTCTGTTACAGAGGACCTCAAACAATTGCATTTCTGGTCATCACTTGCCTCCTCAGTGCTCCCTGTCACTGATGGCTTTGTGGACTTGAATGCTCAGCAACTCTTTCCTAGCTATGGCTGGTAGCTCATGTGAAAGTAGTTTGTTGCCTAGAGAGATTAACTCTCTCTACAATTTGTCTGTCAACTTGAATTTCTTCTACTTGCAATGAGATTTTAGTTTTTACCTGAGAAACATATTGTTCGTAACTGTATGCTTTCTGATGAAAACGCTCAGACATTGCTTATGCACCGGCTGTGAAGGGTGGTATAATCTGCATCACTCAGAGTGAAAACATCGGCCAAAAGCTTTGCTGGTGTTTGCAAGGGTAGAATAAAATATAATATAATATAATATAATATAATCAATATAAAGCTATCACATGGCTTAACAGGTGAGTGGCTAGGGTGCCTCCCTACCTCTGTCTAGACCTTTTATGATACCAAAAACCTGATTCTCCAGCTGTACCCTGATCCTGAACCTTCTTATGGATCTTGAATTAGACTCAAGGAGCTATTAGGTATAACAGTGCCCCATCAAGACTTCTGTGGGACACTGCAGCTGTGAGACTCGGTGGCCACTTCGAGTCCAAACAGGGGTGCTGTCCAAGGGAGGTGGCATTTGCAGTGACTCAGGTGAAGGACAGGGAGCAAATGTCCACTGAAGGTCATTCTGCAGTGAAAGTAATTCCTTGCAGCAGGACACAGCTTGGGTCTGAGGAGCTGGATCAGTTCTGAGACACAACGAACAGCTTCGTTGCAAGAGATCTGTGCCAGAGGCTATCACTGATACACTGACAGCTCACTTACGGGAATAAACAATCTAAGGGTGTTTATATGTAAGCTCTAAGTCTCATAGGGAGAAAGGCACAAGCAAGAAGGAAGGAAGGCTCTGTAAAATTGGAGATACATTAAACATAAAAGGTGGCAGTGCAAGACTCAGGGGAAAGGTAGAGAAGCAGAAACAGTTGTTTACCATCTTTTTGATTCTCGAATACAAAAGGCTTCTGATACCTAGTTTGGCATGCACTGCAGGTAAACAAGAGCTAGCAAAATTCACACAGGCTGTAAGCCCATCACAAATTCTCAGCCACAGGGCTGCCCAAGTAGACTCCTCATTCACACACATACATAGATATATGTGTGTGTGTGTGCGCGTGTGTGTGTATGCGGGGGCTATAAAAACTGGAAAAAGCAAGATTTACAGACACATTTGTGTAGATATTTGGGAGATTTGTATGAGATGAGATAAACACTGTTTCTGCAGGGTAACTTGGGAAATGTTTGTTAGCTCATTTCTCATGCGGTATATAAGCAAGTAAATATGCCCACCTTGCAGTTTGCGTAAAGAGGTGTGGTTTGTTTTTTCCCCTGTGATTAATGGTGTTCTGCAGGTACAGAATAAAGCGAAGAGGTTTGATAGTTAGGACAGAAGGTGACTAGGTGTCCTTTGTTTCTACCAAAGCAGTTGAAATAGAAAGTTTATAAATAAAGGGAAAATCTTTCCATCACTAATATAAGCATTTTTAAAAAAAAAAATTACTGTTACATTCAGAAAGTAGTTGGATTCCACAGTCAATCCTGCTTCAGTTTAGTCTCTCAGTATGAGGATCAAATACATTAACTTAGTTACTCTTATAAAAACAGTGTGCCATTTCCCTGGGACACCCCAGAAAAGACCTACAATCAATTTTAGCACGCAGGCAATGTTTTGCTCCAAGTACATTTGTTATCACTGCCCACTACGTGACATGAGAATTATTATTAAAATGCTTCTATTACTTCTTTATCTGATTTAGCAGAGCCTACAAGGGCAGATAATTGGGAAAGCATCAGAATTCATTGTATGTTTTCGTAATGAAAGTCATTTTATAGTGAATAATTAATTTCTTATAAAAGATAACAGTAAGTGAAGAGCAAAAAATCAAAGGTAGTGTGGTCTTGATTTGATACTACAAATCCTGTTGCAGATAACACTGTCGCCTGGAATCAGATAAAGATATTGGGCATTCACCAGGAAAAAAAAAAAGTGTGTTTTGGATTATCTCCATTTAGCTGAGCTTTTGCATAATTTCATATTGTGGTAATGATTCACAGTTTGGAAAATGCTTTTTTCTTCCTTTATACGGCTTTTTTCTGACCATACCAACAAGCATTACAGTGATAGTGTTTTGTATATACTTGTTGCCTGAAGTGCTCCAAGGATAACAGTTGTTCTAATAGGAACAGTGTTGTTGTTAAAGAAGCAAATCAAGAAGTTAATTGAATCTGATTTTATTTACATCTATATCTCCTTACAAACCAGAAGCCCACCTTTGAAGATACTTTGGAGAAGAACTTCTTTGAAGTTAGTCTGTGCTTTGTATTGAGATATGCATGCAAATAAAATCAGATTCTTCTTTTGGAAAACTCTATTTAGTTAACATGAGATGGCAAGTCAGTTCTAAGGGCCTCCAAGACAGTGATGAAAGCATCTTTAGCTTCTATAATTAATCTCAGATGTATTTCACAGGGTGGCACCACGTACTCATGGAAGCATGGCATTGCTGTAGCATCACCTTCAGAAAAAAAGTGTAATACGGGAGGAGATGCCTGTTCAGATGAGGTAAAGTACTCATTTCCGTTT